TTTAATGACTGCTCTGATTCCTGAAACATTCCATGAAAGTATTTTTATATTATACTTCTCTCCATCCGCATTTAATTTTTCACAGTTAAAATTAATTTCTTTAAGGTCTGTGTCCGTTTTATTCATCGCCTGTTTAGGTTCAGTTTTTGCTTTCTTGGCCACAGATTCTTCATTTTCATTTTCCATTCTCTTAGTTTTTCGGCTAACACCTTTCGATGATGTCTCATCTTTCTTTGTTTCTGAATTTTCAGTCTAAAAATTTTGATTGCTTTAGTAATTACTTATACATGAAAAAATTTAACGTCTTTCCTGTCTTAATCATGAAATTAAACAGAAGAGACTCCATTAAGAGCAAAAATAATTAAAATATCATCTCTAACCTTCTTGGCGCGTCCACGTTTTGGAGGCATGATAAAAGTTCTTGTATACCCAAAGTGAAAGAACTGATTGAAATTCGAATGCTTATAAATCTTGTGATGGATCGATTTTAGGATAGATTTAAAAGAAAATGTAGAAGTACACTTAATAAACAAACTTTCCGTGATCAAAGATATCATGAAAGGTCCTGCCAGCCAGTGCTGCTAGAAATCCCACACGACTTTCCCCTCCAAAATCCCGCAGCGGGATTTTTCCCCCTCCACTTGCCTACCCCGCTCGCCCAATAGTGCCGCCGCGGCCGTAGAAATGTGGTAGCTTTAAAGCAGAGATGAGTTTAAGGTAAGGTTGTGATTGTTTTCACCATAAAAAATATATGAACTTATATATGTTTCAATAACAAATATAAGTACTCATGACAGTATCGTAATTTACAAACTTCCCGATGAAGGAGAATTCATCTTCCTCTTTACATCTGATATTTGACATGAAATAAAATTTGGGGTTATAATATTCCTGTGCAGATGCGAAATCGTCCCAGCGCTCCCGCACACGGAATTTTTCCCCTCTTATGGCAACGCTGCTGCCAGCACTCTTTTTAAAAAGGGTCAACGGAAATTTGCTATGGATATAATGAATATTTTCGTATGTACATACATATATACTATAATTAGAAGTTCAACAATATAATTTTCTTATCATGTCATGTAAGCGTGAATTATTTAACAGTTTTCAATGTTTAATAATGTAATGTAACCTCGCAATAACAAAAACTAACCTGTACATACTAATAAATTCTCTTTCTTCTAACGAAAATGGATCTAAGGCATCACGTAATTCGCTTCTTCTTCTAATAAGGTTATTATTACGCCCCCGAATACGATTGTTGCCAAAAATCAAAACACCCAGGAGGTTTTCTATTTTGAATTTCGGTATCACAATCCGTGGAAGATGGCGTCCACGGCGCTTATTTTTCTATCTTTTCTGGCTTTACGTAATATACATACCTCCTGGTCCTCGTCCGATATGGTTGCCACCTACAGAGGAATTTTCAAACAATGTTCTGTATCCTTCAGTGAGGATGAGTGCTCCAATAAGAGACCCTATGTAGTCATCCTCGTGGTTTCTAGTCTCTATGCTCACCACTGCTCACCACTGCTCACCACGGTCCCCACCACCAGGAATAACGGGGAGGATCTAATTCGTAAGATTGTGATCCGAAATTTGAATTAATATGTTTTACTTTTGATTATTCAGTTTAAAAATAGAGGTAATTTCAATTGAGATAATATGAATCGAATAGATGATGCGCCAAATCTAATGAAAGGTCGAAAACCATCATTTATCGGTATGAATGGTAAGTAAATTAGTAAGATAATATTTACATTAATTTTGTAAACAATACTTAACACTTTTAGTCATCAAAATTTTGATTAATGGTGTTAAATCGCTGCAATAGTCCTATGTGTTTAATGATATTTTGGAAAAATGTTTTTTCGAATAACCTAACCTAAACCTTACAGTTTATCAGATCCAAATAACAAACAAAAGAACTTGAGTGACTATTTAGTTTTATATATCATTGGTATATAATATTGGTTGTTAATTAAATAGAATAACATTTTTTAGGTGGACCAGAGACTGAAGACCAGCAGCGGTTGCGTTTTCAGGTCGAACTAGAATTTGTACAGTGCCTCGCGAATCCTAATTATCTCAATTGTAAGTCTGACACATCATTAGTGTTTCAACAAATTTTACATATTTCATCGATGTTAATGAATATTTTTTTAATTAGTTTTAGCACAGCGTGGATATTTCAAAGATTCAGCATTCATAAATTATTTGAAATATTTACTATATTGGAAGGAACCAGAATATGCAAAGTACTTAAAATATCCTATGTGCTTATATTTTCTTGACTTACTTCAATACGAGCATTTCAGAAGAGAAGCTGTTAATTCGCAATGCACCAAGTTTATCGATGATCAACAGATTCTATTATGGCAACATTATACAAGACGTAGAACAAGATTAATTCAAGCAGCTACTGAACAAACCCAACAAAGCAATCCCCAGAGTAATGGTATGGTGCAACCAAAGGTTCCTTAAGTAATATAAACAAATGTAACCAATGATGCTGTGAACTCTGCTATATATTTGTTTTAAGTTAAGGATATTTTAATGGTACATTTTCAAAGTGATATATTATAAATACAATAATTTTTTATGTACATTATACAAGTTTTTTATATTCATTTACCTGTAATGTGAATCTTTTCTCTTGCTAAAGACCATCTTTGAACACTTTCATTATAAGAACTCTGTCGATATTTAAGCTTAATGTACTAGGTTACTTTCCATTTAATATTGATTGTGACTTAGGTACGCTTCAAAACACTGGATTGCTCTTCTATAATTTAACTAGGCATAATGTAGTAATTAAAATTTGTGGTAAGATATTAGTATTTCAGATTTTCTATGAATATAAAGAAATGTATACATGTAGAATTGTATATTTATTTAGGTAGAAAATAAAACGTCATATAATGGAATTGTGCTATTTATTTTATAACATTCAATGGAAAATATAATAACTAAGTAAACTTCATAATAAGAGCTTATTTTATCATTATGGAGATTTATATATTATCAACAAATAGTAATATAAAAGTACTACGGAAATCCGTAACTAAATTTAATAGACTAGAATATATAATATGTATATTAAGGTAGTATAAACGGCCTTATGCTATTAGAAATATTAATTTGTAAAAGTTTGATAATCTTGAGAAAGTATAAAACAATGTAGCTATGAAAATGAGGAACAAATTAAGATTATGATATTGTTTACAGAAAGTATTGTTTTTAAAATGTTTCCGTAATAAGAAAAATATTTTAAAGTATTTCTCTTTTTAACATTGACATATTATAACAAACATGTAAAGGTATTTGAAGAACTGATTTGTGTACAAATATCCAGCATCCAATTAAAGAAGTACACTCTAAACCAGACTGAAATCTTGAACAAAATTATAGTAGTCATTTGTAAAACAATAATACCAAACGACCCAGTTCAAATAAGTGAAAGATAAAAATTGTATAATCTACACACTTATATAGGTAATAAAAATCATACATGATATTTAAATTTCTAACCATACACAAAGGATCGGAATTGTCATTTTTGTTATTGAAATCGTTTAAATAATTGAACCAACTACAATCATCTCCATCATTTTTCCAAATAAACCTTGTTTACAGTGCAAATTATTTTCTCGCACGTTCAACAAACAATCAATGGAAGTTGATCTCAATTTTTTATCGTACTCGCGTCTGGTAAAGTTACCTAGAAACGGATAAGAAATTTCCATTTATCATTTATACAATATCTGATTAATTCGACTGTCTAACACTGATAAATCCGATACCGGAGGCGTCAGTACACCCTCACGTTCCAGTAACCTCTCACCTATTCCTGTTGCAAGGTATTACCCCCTGCCCCCCCGTCTATCCCTCTCAAGGTGGTTGACCCGGCGTCCCTGTTGCCACGACAACGCTCCCGTGACGTCACGGGCTCGGGTTTATAGGTGACCTACATTCCAAAAATAGAGTTCGAACCGCCCCATCTCGGAGACGCGCGCGGCCACTGCTATCCACCCCCGTTCTGCCCGAGTTTCTAATCCCAAAGTCATCGCAGATCCAGCGGGGGAAAGCGCACGTCCACCAAGCACCGACGGCGACTGAAGAGTATATTGATTGACAACTGCTGGAGACGGATGGCTTAACACCTTCCGCGGGATGCTGCATTATGCGTCGTTAGCAATGCTTCGCTTGGTTGTGAAATCATGCTTCTAAGCGTGTTCATACTTATGAATGAAATACGATTCTTCGATAAACTCATAGATTATTTATAGTCTTTGAGAATGTCAACGAAATGAATAATGGCAGTTATTCTTGGTCAGATATTTCGTTCAAAGAAAGTTTATCTTGTATTAACCCTTTCGCTACGGTGTATTTTAATAGATAGCCTGCGTGGCAGATGGTAGATATTCAATTACGACCTACGTTGTAAACTGCCAAACTTTTATCGGCATGTATTCTTTTCTGTTCGTTGTCAGAACAAGTAACAATTGTTAGGCCTCTGTAGATAGCAATAGTACATGGCAAGCAAATTTACAACGCGTCCACAGAGATTGTAGTTCTCCATTGCAGATGAAGATAAAGTCTTAATATCTCACATGTTTCAAAAAGACTAAGGTAATAACTCTATTCGATGTGGTAGCACTATCGCAGCTATTATCGAATCGATGCAAGGAACCATTGATTCTCCAGGTCCACCAAAGGAAGGTTGCTATGGAATGGAACACACCTAGGAGCAACTAAACTTCTCCGGCACCTGTTTTGTTGACTTGTCATGAGAATTTTAGCATATGGGTGAAAACAGAATTTCATGCCATTACTTGATTTCTCACTGATTCTCATAATTAGAGTGATCACTTACTTTGTGTGCACATATGCTTATTCTAAATGCTCATAAGTACTCTTTTTCTCATCAATCTAAAAATTTCTATTTTAAACGCCCTGTAACAATGTCTTACACTCCATCATTTTGTAGTCAATCATTGCCCTATGAAAGTATTTCGAATTAAAGTCAAACTTGTACAGAAGGCACCATAGGCAAGCAGCCAACACTCGTCAGTGGATGATGGCGATCGCGTAAAGATCCCACCTCGCCTATAATGCACGATTTTACATGCTGAAAGAAGCTTATAATCTTACAGAGAGCAAAATGCCTGCGGACTGCCATCAAGAAAACGGCATCATGAAACGAGGCTTCTTTCGTGCATCTATGCACTCTATGCAAGAGATGAAGGTTGCCGTGGAACAGCACCTATTTAGGTTATTTAATTCCACAGTTATGGATAGACAAAACATCCCAAGAATAAGGATCCTGTTTAATTGGCTGAGTTTCATATGTATACACGCTAGTAAAATTTGTAACTGACTAACTTTTTGTTAGTGGAAGTGATATTAGATTAAACGCGTACATAATACATTCGATATTTGCCAAAATTCTGGTCGCTCTTGTTCGTAGGACCACCTGTATCTGTCTCACTAATAGGATCACTTATAGTAATCTAACAGAGTGTAATACTGTAAGCAAAATTAAATATTAAATTAAGAAATTTAACATATGATTCATTTGTGATGGTAGTATAAGAGGATACACAATGTAAAAGAATATGTGTATACGATACCACAAACATCCTACGCCAACATATTACCCCATGTACGTCCTCACCGTCCTCGCTCAACGAGCGTTTCCCGGCAAATGGCTGTCCTGACGTCCTGCGCTTCTTTCCGTACCCCGCCATCATCTCCACCAATGGATCTCTTTACTATTTTTTTTTATATTCGAAACATTAAATTTTAGGATTACATATTTTTCTTTCTCCTAACATAAAAAATCAATATATTCTAGGGGTGTGCTAATATTTTGAGTTTAATTACATTCTCACTGCTTAAATATCACTATTATTGTTCGATTTTAATTTTTGGTATCCAATATATTTGTTATATACTCCTTAGCGTGGATGCAGTATATCTGTAATAATATTAATTTTAATACATTTGTGAACTAAACGGTTATTTTGTGTATACGTTCTTGTAAAGTGTACGAGTAAATGTTTTTAACGCAAGTTTTCTTTATTCGAAAGATGTGTTATCAGGATTAAATTACAAGTTGCTTTATAAATCCTCTCAAAACAGATTTTGAATTAAAATTTCACGAAAGATACGCGATGTAAAGGTAGTTGACTAATTATTAACTTCGAATTTTTTTTCACGGGATTTCTCATTCCATCGTATATCATCTCTAAGCACGAAAATTGAAACCATAACCGAACAGAATTAAAAACAAATATGACAAGTTGAAATGACTACCGAAGAAAAATTCAAACAAAACGGCAGTTCTGGGAGCGAAGCAAGAAACTTTTTAGTGGTGGGTTTTTCGAGCTTCACAGCCCCAATAGTCGAATGACGCTGTTCTCTTTCTCGCACATTGATCCATGGCCCTCCTGTCTTTGACATGGACCAATGAGCGTAAGCAAGGCCATTACCTTCCTATAATTGGGGTCACACAGCTGAAAAAATTATTTTCTAGGAATTGCCCCAATTATCTATATACAGTCTGATACAGCTTTTATAACGATTCAGTTGTTTTCACGTGGGCCGTACAAAAATCCACTCTCTATTTTACGAATTGCTACGTAAAATTCGAAAATAGCTATTTTGATTTATTGTTTCAAAAGTATTTAACACTTTTAAATAGCCCCGTAAAAATACTATACTGTTGTTAAAAATTACAGGATCTCATATTATCAACGCATTTCTTGCACGATATTAAATAGAAATCTTTTTTTTAATAATCCAGAAATTCATGACTTAGAACATTCTACCGATAAAGGCACTAACCCTGTTATATGTTTAATAGATGGCACGGTATCGGTAAAAGACAATTTGAGCCTTGAACTGTATTAAAATGATTAGATTATATTCGCAAACTTATGGTACTTATCCCTGGAAATCGTGTTTCATTGCTACATTTGCCGGAATCAATTAAAATCGCGTTGGATTGCTTTAAGAATTATACATTTCTGAAAAGTTTACACAACAAGAAGTTCCTATTAAATATTTCGCAAGAAACGCTTTAATTAAAGATAACGAGATAGGTCTGAACTCTGTTGGATAGCAGGGAAAAATAGTAAGTCGGTAGTATCTATATACAACAGGAATCACGAAAGGACCAACAGAGATAACGGGCCATGTTAGTATCCAATATCGGTTCTAGAAATAGTTCTTAATTATCATTTCTATTACTCGACGATCGAGTGAATTCACATCATGATTCGTCGAATCAGCGAAACATACGATAACGTTTGCGATCCGCGCGAGTTCCTTCGTAAAACCAAACGACGCCCCGATCCCCAAAGAGAGCTCAGGGTGTTTCAACCTCATGACCTACTTCTCCCGCCGTGACGTCATCCCCAACGTCATTGCCCGGACGAATCTGGGTCAGGCGAACCCATCTCCGGCCGGAGGCCAGTTGCTTTATTGAGAAATTCCCTGCTAAATTCGGTCTATATGCTGGACATTTTTTCCCAGAAATTTATTTATTTCTATAGCCTGCCAAGGTCTACCCGTTTTCTGTGCAAATTTCGATCCCGTAGCAGCGTGGGCTCGGCGTAATTTCTTTTTTGACATTGGAACATCAAGAAGCATTAAGAAACGACGAAACTTTAAAAGCATTCAGAATAACGGGAATACGGAGAAGTACTCGTATAGGGCTTCCAATGTTGACCTTTAGCTACAACTAATCAGAATATTTGATTGATTGCCAAATTAATTGCGGCTGATTTCGCGAAAACAATTTTCTTGTTATGAAATCTCTTTCGGGGTAAAACTTGGTTTTTAAAGAGCGACTGTACTATTAAAATTTATTTTTTTTTTAATATCCTTTATATATAAATTAAAAATTATTTCCTTAATATTT